ATTAAGTAGGGAATTAGGCACTTTGATCCAAACTTTGCGAGGAAGTAGGTATATTAACGCAGTTATCGCATTAGTAATCAAACTCATGATTCGACCATAAAACGTGATTATTCCAGTGTTCCATGCTCATCCATATACACTATATCACTAGAGGGATTAAAACACAGCCAATTATCTTCCAATATTAGAAGGATTTCCTGTCACTAGAGGGGTGTTGGATTTTCTGTCACTATAGGGGATTAAAACACTTACTGCTAATTTAATCATGTGATGATTAAGTAGATATATTTGATAATTACAATTTTATTTTGTTATGGGAGACCAGGCCTCTCCCTTCTCCCCTCCCTATGCCACTAATCCAAACCTGCCACTGATCCAAACCAAATACAAATAAAACCATGTGAGACAGTAAATCTTGGTAACGCACTATACAAAACCCAGTGCTGCAACGACACAAGTTTTCCTCGTATGAGGAAATTCCACACAAGAATCATAACAAAAAAAATCGTCTAAGTCCATCTAAAAATGAGGACTCAGAGTTCAATCAATAAATCGCACACAAGAACCATCTAAGTCCATCAAATAAGGCTCAAACACGGACAATGATCTATTCGGCATATCCCTCCGGAACATCTTGCATCATTTTTGGTACTCTGAACGTGGTTACAGTCATACTCATCCCGTTGGTGCGTAAGGGCGGGAAAACTCTCCATCATGACTAGATGTGAACAAGCAAAAATAAATAAATAAATAAAATATAAATCCAATAAAGATAGCGCATGGAGCAATGTTAATCCAAAAGATGGCGCATAGAGAGGAAAAAATAGAGGATAGTTTGATCAATCCTTCGACCAAAACCGTATTTGTGTCAGGGTGATGGGCAACGGCGTGGTTTGGGCAGCAATATACACAAACCTAAAAAAAGCTTGCGGTATGCAAGGCATGGCAAAATCCTCTGCTAAGAAATAGTCTAGTAATGGTTGAGATCATCCATGATTGGAGAGGACAAAGAGCAACACGAGAGCAATAGAAAGAGAGGGGTGGGCGCCTGGGCGGGAGGGATAGGGCAAGGCATGAAATTTGGGGTCTTTCTGTTAAAAGGGATGACATATAAGATGTGAGTCTTATAGGAGGTCAAAGGGTGGGCGCCTGGGCGAGAGGGATAGGGCAAGGCAAGAAATTACACTAATGCTAATAAAAAAGAGTATAACTCTCTACTAGGTGGAGTCTTTATGTTAAAAGGGATGACATGTAAGTTGTGAGTCTTATAGGAGGGCCCAAATGTAATGCGTCTTCTTCTCGATGAAGACAAAGTCCGTCTGCACGCTCGCCAAGTGTTTGACGCGGGTGTTGACGGTTCTTAAATCATGATATCTGACCGTCAATGCTTGCATATAATGGAATAAAATATGGTATCCAACTTAGTGGTAGGGATTATTACTAATCGTATCCACTAGTATTGGTGAAATATGTTGCTGATGGTTGTTATCAATCAGTTTTGACCGTCAATATTACCAAAATAGAGGAGAACTAGTGATACTTGCAATGCATAAATATGTTAGAATAATAATATTACACTAGTATTATGTATACCAACCTTTTGCAGAGAATGACACTAAAGTGGAGGAGAATCGACATCAACATAGACGATAAATCAATCGGACGGTGTCGAGAATTAAACTTATGCATGAATGGGCAAAGAACTCAGAATTGACACGATGAATTGGGCCAAAATTCACAAGTCTACGAAGTGAAGCAACGGAGGAGGCCACCTGCCGATTTTGGGCTAGGTTGGGCTGGCCTTGGATGTGGGGTTGGCAGTGACGCTCCAGATCTTCTCTTGATGACGGTTGCGGGGCACTTCAGACATTTTGCAGCGGTTACAACCGTCATACCTGCCTATAAAAAGACTTCGCCTTCTCACTTCACTCACACACCTCAAGCAATATCTCTCTCATTTCTCTCAAGTTCAGTTTACTAGTATCTAGCTGGTGGAATAGGAATAGAGTAGGAATCAGGAGTCCGGAAGCCTTTGTAAAATCAAAGGTGTTTTTGATTATTATTCTATGATGAACAATTGGGCATTGGAGATTATTGGTTTTGATATTTGGAATTTATTCACGAAGTGGTTTTGGAGATGATTGGATTTCATAGATGAATCTGCAGGATTTTATCATTTTGTGCGGACCGGTCAGACCGGGCTCTGGTAGCCGGTCAGACCGGCGGTGATCGAGCGGTCGGACCGGTCAGCCCACGGTCTGACCGGCCGACACTGTGTCGGTTTCGGTTTCGTGTTGTTTATTTGGATATCCGAGTTTATTCCATGATTATGACTTCTAGATGGATACTATACGTATGTAATACTATTGTTTGCTGCTAATGAGTCAAGTGGTTTTGGAGATGATTGGATTTCATAGATGAATCTGCAGGATTTTATCATTTTGTGCGGACCGGTCAGACCGGGCTCTGGTAGCCGGTCAGACCGGCGGTGATCGAGCGGTCGGACCGGTCAGCCCACGGTCTGACCGGCCGACACTGTGTCGGTTTCGGTTTCGTGTTGTTTATTTGGATATCCGAGTTTATTCCATGATTATGACTTCTAGATGGATACTATACGTATGTAATACTATTGTTTGCTGCTAATGAGTCAAGTTGGAGATAGCTTGGTCTTGGAATATGGTTTCTTTGTTTGTTCCATGTGTAGGTGACTCGATGTCTCGGGAGAGTATTTGCGGTGATGGACCGGGAGTCGGCTTGGGGATAAGACGACGTCCGTGGTGGTCAGAGATCATGCGGGATACTTAGGCTAGAGTTGATGCACGTGGTTGATGGAGTTTCCATATGGCATACGATAGAGTTATTGTGTGCGTGTGGGATGCGGAGTCGAATTTGGAAGGAGTCCAAATTTGGTACGTTTGGTTATGTAAAGTTTCTTTCTTGTACTAGAGGGTTTCCTAAGGTGTTTAGGACTCCTAGTATGAGTTTGGTTCGTGGCTTTAGGCTACCTACCTCACGTATAAATAGAGAGGGAGCGTGAGGATTCCCGGCATCGCTTTTGAGAGCAATATAGTTAAGTTTTGAGTTAGGGTTTCGAGTTTAGTCGAAATTTTTGTAAGGAGTGTTGTTGGTGCACTTTGTAAACACAGAGAGAATCAATAAAGTCGTCATCCACTTTAAGAGTTCTTCGATTTGTGTTTCACCGGGTTTCGGCGGTCTAACCGGCGGCGCACCGGCGGTCAGACCGGAGGCATCTCGGTGGTCCGACTGGCGGGCACACGGCGGTCAGACCGGCGGCGACAGGAATCGGCGGCAGGATTTCTCGGCGGTTCGACCGATCGATCTACATCGGTCAGACTGACGTTCATCAGGCGGTCAGACCGGCGCAACTACTTCGGTCAGACCGCGATCCATCGATTTCGAGGGTAACTTTTATTTCCGCTAAAAGTTTTCGGTTTTTGGGTATACCAACCATTCAACCCCCATCTGGTTGGCTTAGTTCTTGTGATTCGATCCTACAGCCTTCGGAATAGTTCGGGTATGGCTCTAGTAGCTTTTCTCTTCTCTTTTGTAAGCTTTGTACTTTTATTAGAATACTCTTCTAAATACATTTATGGTATTGAAATACTTTCCAAGTATATAAGTACCTACTTTACATTATGTTCTTGTTATACTGAATATACAGCTAGCTTATCTGGGAGATGCATTGGTGCGGGTATAATGTTTGCATATGCAATTACTCTATGTCATGACGATGATATTAGAGTAGTATCTGGTAGTTTAGACGTGGTGTCTAGCTTACGGGATATTATTATTTGGGGTTATATATTGCGGATGAGAGGTGGGCCGCTGATGGTGACAGCTCAGTACGGGTATTCCTCCGTGCCGGTATATAATCCTAAGTTAATTCCCTGGGGAGGGTATTTCTTCGTATTTAGTCCCGTTTGTATGGTCATGACGGGCTGTCGTAAGGAACTCGGCAGTCAGGGGTGACTTCCCGAAGTACCAGGAGGGCATCGGATAGAGGGTCTTAGCTAGTATATCGGTTAACTAGAATGTATGTATACTATGTATATTAGAAGTATAGGAATAGATTATATTTCTCTTTTCCATCCACTTAGCTTAGATAATATATTATGATAATGAGTAGTTGATGCTTGTGTGTCATTCTACCCTTGGATTATCTTAACCCCTGCTTAGAATGTGATTATCACAAGTAATATATAAATTATTAGTCAAGTTCTCTCTACATGATCTTCCCACGGGATAAAATAAATACGATATCCTTGGAATACTCTCGGGTGAAATGCTACAATGGTATATCTGTGCGCTTACGGATGAACTCTAGAGTTGCGGCTTTGGTATATAGCCGCCTATCGCCGCTCGGGGGAGGGGGAGGGGGGCGCCGCTCGCCGGTCGTTGCTCCGTGTCGCCGCAGTCGCTCGGGGGAAGGAGGGTGGTGGGCGCCGCCGCCGCCTCCGCTCGAGGAGATTGGGGGCGGGGGAGAGGGGGAGAATGAATCCTAGGGTTAGGGTTAGGGTTTAGGTGTATTTATTTAGGTTAGGATTAATCTAGACCGTCCATTCGATCGGACGGCTCCAGCTGCTCCCGCGTCATGCCGCCGGCATATTGGGCCACCGAATGGAGGACACAAAATGGACTTCAACGGAGAAAGGAAACAGGCCAGGCACATTGAATAGACAAAAGGGAGAAAATATAAACTTTTCTATATTCGGCCCAAACCTAGAATGAAGGATTTTAATTCTTTTTCCAATTAAATAATTGTTAAATGATGTTTGTATTATTAAACATTAGCAATTAAGCTTTGATAATTCCAATAAAATTTCAAAGAGCGTAACTAATCGTGGAGAATTTAGTAAAATTAAATTTAACAATGTCATTTTATTTCTCACACTGGCTTTACTTGTAAATTGATTTAATTATACACTTACCTACTTAAAAATACCAAATATTTTAGCAAATTTGTATTTTAATTAATTACATAATGTAAATTTTTCTTAAATTTTTCTTAATTTTCTAGTCTGTACACTTTCCGTTGCAACCCACGGACACTTTTTGCTAGTAATATATTTTTCCGGTCGTCGCATCTTTTCACCCGCGTGATTTTTCGTCACATCTTTTTCACCCACGTGATTTTTCGTCCGTCACTTCTTCGTCCGTCATTCATCACCGCGTCGTTCATCACCGCGCCTGCAATGCCGGTGTCCGATTCAGAAATTTCGAAGAATCGGACTCTAATTCACCCAAACAAAATCAGTAGACGGATTCATGGGAGAAACCAGGAATCAAATTCTAATCCACCCTAATAAAATCAGCATAGGGATCCATGAGGAACTCCAATCCACCCAATAAAATTTGTCCGTCACAACACCCCCAAATCCCATCCCAATCGGAATTCAATCAACCCCCGAAAAAATCCCAATTGGAATTCAATCGCACAAATAAAATTGGAATAGCGGTGCATCCACGAATCATGTGCAGCAAGCAAGCCCACCAAGCCCACCAGTTGCAGATCGATGCTAACCACTTCTAGATCGAAGAAGTGGCGTGGGGAAGGAGGTCTTCTATCTGCCCGCCAACGTCACGCCCTTCCTTCCCGAGCGCCGCCGAGCCGCCCGACGCCGCCCCCATCCTCCTTCTGGCTCCTGGACGCCACGCGTGCGTCGAGCTCGCACCACGCCATCGCCGAAGCCGAACCAAGCTGCGCCGCCGGCCCAAAGCCACCGCGGTCCTATCGTTGCCGCGCCCGCCGAGCACAGCCGCTCTCGTCGCATCCCCAACCGTGCCGGAGCTCCCTCCCTCTACCCTGGCGCACCCCGGTGCCCTGCCCTCCGGCGCCCTCCTGCCTACGCCATTTGGATCGCTGCCGGCGCTCTCCTGCCTGCAAGCAGCCGAGAGAGAAGAAAAAAGCGAGAGAAGGAAGGGAAAGTGTGAGAGAGAAGATAAGAAGAGGAAAAGGAAAGAGAGAAAAACGGTGGGACTGGGACCTACCAGGGGACCCACTGCTCTAACCCCATCTCCGTGGGACCCACCATTCTACCGCTCAGCTCGAAAAATAATTTCCAAAGTCCACATAGCCTCCCTCTTCCTTCATTTGGCCAAGCCCAGTAGATCAATCAATCTCTACAAAAGTTTATAATATGTCTCACGTCCAAGCTCTAGGCCAAAGCCCATCAGCAGCCCCTCCCCTCCACCAAAGTCCAAATTGAATCCTTCTACATCCAAATTAACTAAATCGACCGTACAAATCAAATTAACTAAAACTTGTATAGGAGATTAGATCAAGTAGCAACTCGTGGCATGCTATTTTATCAATATATATTGCCCATGATCAACGTCTTGTTGTAGGAACCAGAGCACTTGTTAGGTTGGCGCGTCATACCCATGGGCATCGGCTTCTGGCAGTAATATTGTGCACCACTTTAATTCAGCCACGGCACATGCCTCACACAACCATGTTCCCATTTCGTTGATCAACTCAATGATCTCCTTACACTCTCAGCGCGCACACACACCACGCCGACCACCATCTTGGAGTCACCTCTCCAAACGCATCATCACGGCATTGCACACACCTCATCTCCAGCTTTGTGGTCATGTCCGAGCACCGTAAATTAATTATTGTTGTGCTGATCAGCTCCGTATGTGTGGCTCGTGGCCGTAGTACACACTGATATGGTTATGATCCCGGTCGAGTTCTTATAACATCAAACTTCAAGCCTCATTCACCAAAGTCTTCGTCCGTTGCAGCCAGACGCGGCTGCTACCTACCATGCTACGGTCATCGTTCGGCCGTCAATTGGTCTAAGGGTGCTTGCTGATTTGCTAGTCGATCGTGCTACTGAGCCACCCCATAGATCTACCTATATCTTCAGAGTCCATGTTGACTCGCGTCGTGTAAAGGTGGAAATCAAACCGGCTTTGTCTTTTTTTATCTCCCTTTCTTCAGAATAATAATTTATTATGAGCTACTATATTTCTCTCTATCATTTGATACTTTTTCTAGCGAGCAAAAGTACAGAAGCAGTGCGAAAATAACTTCGGTTAAGAACAAATATTTTTAGTTTTAATACACCGTGCGAAGCACGGGCATTTTGATAGTAAGAATTAAAAGATTAGTATTTTTACTTCCGTCACCCTTTGATTTTCGTCCGTAGCAGCATCATCTGCACGATGCGACTGCCAAGGACTCCGCTTCCTTAGTTGCTTTCCCTCCTATCGCGCGTGCGCACGCTTGACGCGCCTCTGTGCGACTGGATTTGAATACGAGTGCAAATACAATATGGAACAAACAACACGCGCTTCCTAAGCAGGCCGGGTTGCTGACACTAAGTTTTTGATTGTTGGGGTTAGGGGAAGGGTGCTGCCGGCGAGGATTTGATCCGATGGGCTTAAAGGAGAGTTGACATCGGCCGATGGGGAGGAGGTGTGGGCATAAGACGGTGATGGGGACGCCGCTCGGCGCGGTGCTGTGTAAGATAGCCGGTGTGGTGGTGCTGGTGCATGGATTGAGCGATGTCCTGCCAATCGAGGACAGGAGTTGCCACTTGTCAGGCGAGAGATGGGGGAGCTTGCCCTAGCAGGAGAACGAAAATAGAGAGAGAGAAAAAAGAGGCGAGAGGAAGAAGACGATGTGGAAGTCGTTTGATCAACATCCAACGGCTGAGATCGTCGACCGATAATAATGAAAAGAGAAAAGAATCCTCCGCAGCGTCGCAGCTGAAGACCGGATTCGCTGCGTCGGGCTCATTCGGTGCCGTGACCCGTGATAGTCGACGTGTTGTGCTGGTATGGATACACACTCACAAATTGTCACAATTTCGGACTCGACATGCCGGCCTATATATATACCCTAACATGCACGTACGTCATCCATTAACGATCGAAGCGCATCCTTTTAGCAGGCACAACTACAATTGGGGAAACCCTCCAGGCTCTAGCTAGTCATGCCGCCGCTGCGACGAGCCCGCGCACGTCGCGACGCCACGCCGTACACCGGCGGGTGGCTGTCGCGCCGGCGTTGCCACCAGAGAGGCCGAAACGACGGCGCGCTTCTGACCACTCTGCCAGACCGCGTGTTCTCCGACGCCACCGACGTCGCGCGCTTCGCGTCGACGTGTCCCCGCTAGCTGGGGCAGGTTCGTGGCCACGCACGTACGCCGCTACAATCTCCCGCGCACTGCCGCGGCCAGCTCGGTTCCCCACTCGGTTCCTCCCAAGCCTCGCCCTTGGCTGCTTCCACCAGGAGAACGACGTCGGCCGCTGCGCGTGGGGGCGGAAGTGGCTCGCGGCTTCGAGCTCGCGGCAGCCGCGCTTCTTTCCGGCGGCATCCGCCTCGCGGTTCCTAGGCCCGTTCTAGCTCCCGGACGGCGAGGCCTTGCTGCTCGACTACGCCCAGCCAGTGGCGTCCCGCAAGGCCGCAACGGCCGCGTCATTGGAGCTCCGGCGCGACGCGCGCCCGCGCCAGCAACGGCCTCACGCTCGTCGTCTCCAACCCCATGACCGGCGGCGACTGTCCAGGCTACTACAGTACTACGCGTGTGCGCAATACTCACCGGTGACGACCTCGACACGCCGCCATCGCGCTCCTTCTTCCGCCTGCTCATCATCTACAACCGCCCCGGCTTCACGGCTATGCGGTGCTACTCGTCTGACGACAGTAGCTGGGGCCCGGAACGAAGGAAACCATACTGCGCCCGGCTAGGCCATGCCTTGGCGGCGGCGTGGCCTACTGGCCCTTCCACTGGGAGGCGTTCGTCGGCGCGCGCTATCGGACTCAGCCATGGACGTGTGTTCGGTGCCTTACACGTATGGGGCAATGTTCAAAATAGCCGGCTAAGGCTTTTAGCGGCTAGTATCTAGGGAGGCTAAGAAAGGCTATAGCGGGCTATAGCCCAGCTAACCCTATTTAGCGGTTTTGTAATTGCCAGACAGAAATCAGTCAACAATTATGCATATGAACATGGAATCAAGAAAAAATCACGGACTGAAACAAATTAAGTGTTCTTTCATGCCTTCATTACAGTCTAGACAACACAGATTGCTGGCTTGATCTTCTACCTCCCCTTTGGGCCACTGGCGAAGGCCCAAGGCCTGCTCTGATTTTGGCCCAGGAGCTAAACTACAAAGTGAGTGGCGCTAAATGATCTGCAGTTTAGCGGATTTAGCCGGTTAATTGCCGCTATGAGCGGAAAAAATCGTTTAGCGCAAAAGGCTAACTATCCTAGCTCCAACCCTGCCCAAACGCTATAGCCCGCTATAGCGGTGGCTATAGCCGGCTATTTTGAACATTGGTATGGGGGATACTGGCCGGTTCTCCGCATACTTGGGGGTGTTGGCGGACAGGACGGAGTTGCGCTACATCAACGTGGGGACTTCTCGCCGAGTGTCCCAGCTTGTATTCTGCTCGTTGAAGACACAATTAGACGACACTGATGCATGGAGAGTACAGACACGACGTACGTGCACTGTGTACGTCCGAGTACCAGACCTCAGGCCGGCGAGGACGACCCCGATCGAGCTCCGGTGGTTCGGTGAGAAGAGCGGTACGGTGGTGTACACCGTTGGGGAGGCCAATGGCGGTCTTCGCGGTGAACATGGCGGATGGGACAGTCCAGAAGCTAGCAGACGGTGGCGGCTACAACACATGCAGGAATATTTAAGGTTACTAGAAAAAATACCCGTGCGTTGCAACGGGTACAACAGTACACGAGTTACAATTCCGAATAGGACTCCAGCACCAAGCTGGAGACGGACTCCGTCTCGGACTCGCCTTGCACTCGCACTCGCAGGGTAGCCGGGTAGGGCCGCAGGGGTGAGGTTTTATTATATTTATTTATTTGTAAGAACTCATGCATTTAAGAACTCACGAGGTGGATCCTGTTTGAGAGAGTTTGGTTTGTTATTTTAGGATGGATGGCGCCGAACGCGTCACAACAGCCTCCGCATCCGCCTCTGGCTCCTCCCTCGCCTATAAATTGAGCAAGCGCGCCAGCTAACTCCCCACACCACACTCGTTCTCCACCATGCATAGCCGAAGCTCAAACCCCTCTGGGTAGCCGGGAACGGCCGCACCACCACCACGGTCTGCGCCGAACAGAGCACCGCCCCCCAACCCACGCCAATCAAATCTCCACCACGGTGATTTCCCTTCCATCTCCTTGCGCCAGAATGACCCTAGGAGACCCTTCAACCCATTTCATCAACTAATTATAGGGCCCCCTCTCTAGAGCGCCGTCATGTCACCACCGTCACCGACCTCTGCCGCCATGGGAGCTCGTCGTCACGCCGCCTCAGACCGCCTCAACTCTAACCGAGCACTGCACAGGGTAAGTCTCCTAGTAGTCCTTCCTTAGGCCATCCCCTATCCCTTAATCGAATCTCCATAGACCGTGGCACACCGCCCGCCCGTCATCTAGAACCGCTGGCACCACCGGCCATGGCGCTCGCCGACTCCAGCCTTCCCCGGCCTTAGGCCGAGCCATCCCCTCCACCGCTCATCGCCGGCGAGCCATTCCCGAGCCGTTGTGCCTCTCTGCCTATCGAGCTGCCTGTAGGTTGAAGAAGAAGGACCTAGTCCTGTTATTAGGGTAAAAGGGGTTCTTTCTGCAAAGCGCCAGACACTGACAGTTAGGCCTAGGACTTATATGTAATTTATGAAAACTTTAGTGCTTGGCTGAAAGTTTAGAGGAGTGCCCCTCACTGAGAGATGGACCCCACAGTTTTAAAATGAATACAACCGTGTGAAATGATGTTAAATAATCATTGAGTGTAAATCGGCTGTAACAAAAAATCTTAATATAGAACTAATAATAATTACGTCACATATTTATAATTTTCACATCTTTATAGTATTCACATGCTAGTACCACATATAACAAAATTAATGAATGGAACAGCACATTATTGGCCACATATTGATACTACTTTGGAAAGTTTGTCTATAGTTTCATCTGATTCTCATTCCTAATGCTTATAGACAATTGCTAATCATATGTGTAAAAATTAAAAGAAATGGTAACTAATCCTTTTGGAAAGGAATGGATCTGCATTTGCATGCAGAGAAGCAATGGTTAAAGTTGTTTACAAAATTCTACACAATGGTTCTCATTACATAGCAAAAGAAATACTCCCTCCTTCCCAAATTGATCATCATATATGTTTATGCACCAAGACCAATGATAATTTAAATCACATCAATCAAGATACCATGCACACATTCTCCCACAATACATGCATCGATTAACACCATGCCAATTACACCTTAGCATGCACACATTCTTCCATGTTGTATTAATGGTATTCTGATGAAATCCGTGTCCATGCGGTTATATGATGATCAATTTGAGAAATCTTGAATTTCATAGTGTGATGATCAATTTGGGAAGGAGGGAGTAACGGAATGGTTACCATGGAAGACAGGGTTGTTGTGGAAGAAGTTAGTGCTTGACACTTGCCTCAACACAGTCATTTCCTTACAGTGCTAGCTCTGCATTGCCAGGAACTAACACATACAACAACCCAACAAGTCAGAGGCTTCATATATTTGTATCCTTTTCTCTTCATGCCAATATACATATCTCAAAAGTTTGAGTCCCTGGACAAATAAGACAACTTTGAGCTTAAGGTGTAAAAGTCATAGTAATGTTCATGCAAAGCATTTTAGTATGTCAACCTCTTTAGTTCTTCAAATTTTGAAAATACAATATGCAACTAATACCATTGTCAAACAATATGTGCTTTCTAATATAGTTAAATGAAAAAAGAGAAACATTTCAGTTCATTCTGAGACCAAGTAAAGAAATATGCAATCCCATTGTTGACCCATCTAGAGTAGGTTTTAAGTCATAATGAAAAATCATGTATTGTTTAGGAAAAAAAACTAGTTATTTGTTGCATACCCATGAGGCTCTGTTGTTCCGTCTAATTCATCTCTTCATGAAAATGATCGGTTGACTTGCTCTCATTTCACCCAAGAGCCACCGGTGTCTGCCCAGCCATTCTGTCAGGGGTGCAACAACCATAAGTTGATGACCGAACGTGGAAATATTATCATGTAAAATAATTAACCAAATTGATAAAAACAAAAAAAAAGTATTTTGGTTAGTATTTTCAGGAAAACCAATCAAATTATATATACCTATAGGCTTGCATGCTATTTATAAGGCTATGTTCAAGTCATCTAACTATTGGGTTGCTCTCTAGCTTATCTTGATCTAGCTATGCACTTCTGTCCGAACATGAAGAAGAAATTCACTTTGACGTGTTTAACTTGGTTGTAGTGGAACCACAATGAAATTTTTGGGTCACCTAGTGGGAGTTGCATGTTGCTCTGGAACTGAATTTGGCAAGGGCACTACTTTGATCAGATATATGAACCTGAAACTTGTCTCTACTTTGGTCAGATATATTATGAACATCTGAATATCGAGGCTGGAAACCTCTTATATTGGTATATTTTCATTCCAAATTACTATTGCTCACTTTGGAACAGCAGTGAACCAATAGCAGTTATGCACAGGGAGCACCCGATCAGACCCTGCTCCTACTGTGCTGGCCAAACAATTGTAAACAAGCTTGCAGTCAAGGTTTTTTTTTTATAGAATTTGGAGCTTGCAAACAAAAGGTGCAGACAGTATTAAGAAATATAGATTATCATCAAATGTGCAACATTTGATAACAAAAACAAAAATTCTTTTGGTACATTCTCTAATTGACAGTAAATAGATTAGTGTAAGGATTGAAATACCCCTGGGCAAAAGATTATAGTTAGTTGTTATAAAGATTGAAGAGTACAATTTCATCTGTGGATTGCAAATAAATTATGAAAATTCCTCAGTGGATTTTCTTGAAAAATCATCATTTGATACTGTTAGACAATCAAATTAAAGGGTCTGTTTGCACAAACGTATGCTGAAATCACATCCAGATTGTTTCAGAGGCATTTAATAAAAACATCTACTGGGCATGCATTTTTAATCTAACATTCTAATAGTAATATCATCATGGCCTTTCTGGAACAACTTAGAACTTACAGTGAAAATGGAAAGTGATTGAAATTAACTGTGCATTATGCCTCTCTATGAATGAACAATATTCTGCCCCGTATGCCTCCTCTGAACAGGAATGGATCTATTTAAAAAAATAAGGAACAGCAAATTAAATAACAAAGCAAAGCAGACCAAGCCTCCAAAGTCTAAATCAACAAATTGAGGATGGAGTAATCAGCCACTCCTTGCACACAGGATCCCAAATCATAGCTGAGAAAACAGCAGTGGCGCTGCAGCCGCGGTACCTCGTGTCGGTGTGGGACCGAAGCGAAGCCTCGAAGGCCAAAAGGGGAGGAGAGGGTGGGATGTGGCGCTGGGGGTAAGGGCACGACATTGGTCAGTTGAGATCGGGGAGTGGCGTCGGCAGCGTGATCTGGGCAGGCGTGGATGCGGGCGCTGGCGGTGGCGGAGAGGAGCAGATTAGCGATGAGCGTCGACGGCAGGTGATGCGGGGTGGAGAAACGCCGGGGACGGGGATGTGGGGCGGGGGACTCCACAACGGTGGAGGTGGATATGACGACAACGCTCGATCCAATGATGGGCGCGCGGCAAAGGGGATTCAGCGACGGTGGAGGACGCGGTATCGGTGGCGGCGATCTAGGAGGAGGTGCGGGACGGGAGGGAGGTGTGGTGCCGCGGCGTATTGCGGAGGCCGAGGGGACTCGCGACGAGGAGGATGAGCCGTGGCGAAGGGGGAGCGGCGCGGCGATGTGGGGCGGCGCTAGCGTGTTTTTTTTTCCCGCTGATTGCGGATTGCGAGCAATCCGTAGGAATCGCGCGTGGGTGGTGCAGAGGGATGCGGAGGAGTAGTGTGCCGCTCTGAAGCGTGTCGATGTACATTATGTTGGATCGCATGTCGGGAAAATATGTGCTTCACCATCACCACTACGAATTTTTTAAATAAAAGTAGAGTAGAGATATACAGAACAGAAATGCGTCTTCTCTTCCCTATAGGAAAACGTACTTCAAGCAGTGCCCTTTAGTTTCTTTTATAAACAAATTATTAAATCTGAGAAAAGATTTTCTGTTAATTATTTATGCACTATAAAATGCTGAAAATTTGGAAAATCATAGAAAATTCATTTTAGCTCCGATTGAGGTGAACCAGATTTTGTTAGTTTCCAACTCTCTTTTTAATACTGCACACTCAAACTTAGAATCACTGTTGTAAAAAAATTCACTAATTTAAATTCGAATAGTACGTACCGTATTTTAATATCTTAGAAACGTGATAACTTGCACATTCAACATCGGATTTAGGCGAATCTTTCTCCTAAATTTATATTAAACCATCATCTATACACTGAACATGTTCATGCACCGTGCATGATATTTTATCTTGGAGTTTTATTGGATTTTCATTTGAATATAGGTTTAAATTTAAATAGAGGACAGATCGATTGTTGCCGTTGATGGGAGTGTGCAGGATCAAGAAATATTCGAGTAACTCTTGAGCAAGCAAGTACTATTAGATCAATTCCTCCTTCGATCATGTTGAATCATATATTTTCGCAAATGCTTTATTATGTTTAAAATTGCATGCGGTGTTTGCAAAAATGTGGGACTTTGGTAGAACAACTCCTAATTGTTGCATTATCCACCTTGATTATTGATCACCCTATTGTTGATGGACCTAGGATGGGTTGTGGTCCTATCCAAGCACCAATATGGGTATATTCGAGCTACTACTATAGCTATTGCTTAGCCATGCTTAGAAAATTTGCTATGGTTATAAATGACATGATATTAACTCTTTCAAATGGGTTATTTTAAAATGTTGTACAGAGCGGTTGCCTCTGTTATTATGTGAAAATTGGAAACTGAAAATGATGATTTCAAACTTGGGCGGCAAGTGGTGTGCATATGGTGATAGTTCTACGCTGATAGGGGGAGTGTTCGCCCGAGTCAATTAAGGACCGAACTATGTGTCACCAACTAAGCTTACCGTGCAACCACATCTGTCGGTTATGGGGCAACCTTGGCTTACTAAGTTGTTTACTGTTTAGCATTGCATTGGAAGGCCGTTGTAGTAGGGACTAGTCTGAGCGATAGCTCATAGGAGCTACCCATGTGACCCTCTATGGGAACGATCGTGTTCTCCATATGGCATGGGCATCTAAGCATATCCAATATAATGGATAGTGCCTTGTTGAGGGAATAGATGTGTTACAACATTAGTATTAGGATGGGGCCCACCTTTCCTAGCGGCATTGGTTCATGGCCAATGTGGAGAAACACTCTCCATGCTCATGCAAGGCTAGACTTTACGCAATGTAACGGCTTCGTTGTGACCTCTAGACCGTGCTCAATGTGTAGAGTGTGGGTTACCGACGGGTACCGAAACAACTAGAGTGTAGCCTTTTGGCTTCTATCACATCATGTGGGTAAAGTTGTACAAACTCTGCAGAGTTTAAAACTAATCGATTAGCCGGTGCTCACGGTCATGAGCGACTTGGTGAAATGATACAAGTATAGTGTTGGTGATTTGTTAAATGAATTGCGATATGGGTATGGTGAATAATGGTGATGATTTTGCCTGGTGTGGGCTGATAATATAATGATTACTTGCTACCATGGAGGGGGCACAAGGATGATATGATGATACTTATATTACTATTATTATGCTTTACTCTTTGATTTAAAAATTCCGTTTCAATATGTTATATTTATATTGCGAAACAAAAATTGTTTTACACTGAAAATGAGCTACAAATATAGCCATCTTTGGGGAGAATTTACTATTTGCCACTCTCTCAAAATGCCAGTGCTCAAATGCCACTCTCCCAAATTTTCATTCCCAAATGCCATCCGGACCCACATGTCAGCCTCACTCTCCATTCAAACAAAAGTGATGCGGGACCCGATGATGAGTGAGGCTGACATGTGGGCCTGGGTGGCATTTGGGAATGAAAATTTGGGAGAGTGGCATTTGAGCACTGGCATTTTGAGAGAGTAGCAAATAGTAAATTCCCCCGTGTATTGACCCACCGCTCATTTTGATCTCAGCTTGCAATAGTCCTAGGTTTCCCAAGGTTTGGGTAGGACTTGCCAGTACCTCGTGTATTGACCCACCGCTCATTGTTGTTTTTAGTCTTGTTTACAGGAATCGGGTGTTTGCGCTGCTAACCGACGTTTCCTTGGATAGTTCTTTCTAGGGTGATTATTAGTCGGTTGCCTGTGTCATTTGGTAGATGGGTATACTGAACAATTTATGTATCTTTTCCGCTGCGTTTTAAACTCATTTCAGTGGTCAGTTGGCCTAACCACTTTGCATGACTCTTACACTGCTAAGTTATAAGAGCTACATTTTTTTTACTTGTGTGCCATGTACATGGTATGGATGTGGTAACAATATATATTGTGGATGCGTGTACTACGCACTGATCATGGGACTAGTACAGTGTACGCTCCAGGTATTCGGGAATTCAATCCCTGGGTGCCGACAGATTTTTAGGAATTGGCTGCACGACATGTGATTATAATCAAGGGGGTCCAAGACGGTATCGGTCCGTACTTCAGGTAGAGCAATAAACATATGTAATGATCGCTATGACGGTTCAATTAGTCACAAACCAAAAAAATACAGATATATACATTGAAATTTATCAGACTTACTTAAAGTTGTATGCGGTCATTATGACTCTTTTTTTTTTTTTGAAATCTTAGGAATGCGTATCCAATATATTGTGTCACAGTAAGAAACTTGGTCTTGTACAAGCTCTTCTTATATTCCGTTATATGTTCAGGCGTTTTGTTCTTTAGCTGCTCAGACTTTTCTGATAGAGTTACGATATGATCAAGGGTTGTTGCTTTTCGGAGGTTTCTTCTGGTTCAATAATGTTGCAATCGATTGAACCAGAAGAAACCTCCGAAAAGCAGGAACCCTTGATCATTCTAGCACTAGGAAGGATGTGATTTTGCCTAGCTGATATTGACTGCATCATTCTGGGGGAGAAGGAGCCTACCTGCATGTGCGTCTAATGAGATCGGCACTTCTGTATTGGATGAGAAGGCATGCATGGACAAATCCACCCGAACGAAGTCACCAGCCACTACCATTGTGCTCACCACCGGTCGATGGTGTCAGCCATTGGGCAAGCAGATCAGCTACTACTAAGCTTCTGCCTGGCCAGATCTGCCACTCCTGATGACCGCCATCTCCCCACATGTGAAGAGGATGAACAGTGGAATCACCAGCGTAGTAATCACCAGAAGGTAGCATTGGCAACTACTGACCTTGTCAATCTGCCATGGCTAGAGATCGGAGCAGATTAATCGACCGCCTCCGGAACTTGCCACCATCAGATCCATTATTAGCAAGTCCAGATTCCATAGGAACGACTCCGGCGACCTCAGTCAAAACAGGACATTGCACGAAGATACGGGAAAAAGCCCAAGAATGGGTGGAACCCAACACTATACTGGCTAAACTACTACTAGTAGGAAGGGGCTTGACCCCTCTTTCAGCCATCACTGGCAGTGAGCTGCCGGAACCGAGTAAGAGGGATCGAGAGAAGGGGATTTTTCTGTTTGTCGCCTTTCTTATTGTTTCCAGAGAGCTCCCCAACCTCCCTATCTTGGGAGAGCGCCAGAAGAGCACATTGTGATGAGGACATCACTCCTTTGGATATACACAACAATCATCCATCGGTCATTCAAGAACCAATCACAAGAGCTCGCACGCAACAATTGAATTTAGATGTGAGCTCGTTCCTATGTTTATCTTTATATGATTTTGAGAACAGATTGCTACCTAATGATTATATTATGATTAGGAATAATGGAGAGGACAAGGAGACACTTAGAGAGGGACTTAGAGGTGTGGAGGATCAGCAAGGAGGTCCAAGTCAATATGGAGGCCCAAACCAAGTCAACTTCAAGTACGTTTCGTAGTCTAGGACCAGTCTGCACTAAAATGGGTGCCTAGGTCGCATACGTGCTCGGATTGGGGCTTTCTTTATATGGATGGAAAGCTAAGAAGATAACATTTCCAATGGTTTGGTCCCATATCCAAATTCTTTCCGAGTCATTGGGAATCGACCAAACAAGTTGACATCTAGAATCTGTTTCGGTGTTGCGTCGCCGTATTTTGGTCTTTGGGCTATGTATCGTGTTGGAGCCCATTAGGGTTGCGTCAAGGGGTATTTGCATGACCCTAAACTCTATATATTAGTAGCTGCTGCCACCTTTAGGGTTTGGGTTTTGCTTAGATTAATCTGTCAAGAATAGTTTCGCTGATCCTTCAGTTTGTAAGACCCCAACTTGTGAGCTTAATCATTCATATACATTTTGAATGTATTCTTTCTTGTTCTTGTTTGTGTTCTTCGATTCACAAATAGGGATTAGCCTTCTCGGTGAGGTCAACCGGGTTTCGACACGTACGGTTGATAACCAGAGTAGACGTGGTGCTGCGGTTGCGGGGCTCAAGAGCATGTTCGTTCAGAAGCCAGATCAATTTGTGCTGTGACTCCATAAAATCGACTGTTTATCAAAACCTTTCAGAAGATCAGGAACCCTTGTCCGCATCACATTGGTTACTAGGAAAGTATAGTGGAAACTATATCTTACATGAAAACTTGAACAAGATATTTTATAAATGTTCGCAAAAAATTAAAAAAAATCACACATGCTATATGTAAATAAACAACCATACGAATAACACTATTATTGTTTTTGTCTTTTTCTCCTATGTTTTGGTCTTTTGAGTTTATCCATCAGTGTTACCAGTCTATGTGGGAGATTCTGATTCTCAAATTGGACTTTGAAAATGCTTTTGATACAATTGAACACTCTACAATTTTGGAAATAATGAAGCATATGGGTTTCCCTGCAAAATGGATAAACTGGGTGAAGATGGTTTTTAGTTCTGCAAGTTCATCTGTTTTGTCAAATGGAGTCCCTGGGAAAATTTTCAAGTGCAAGAGAGGGGTTAGGCAAGGTGATCCCCTTTCTCCTTTGCTTTTTGTGCTTGGTATTGAATTACTTAAAACAGTCTTAAATAAAGCTATGAGAATCGGACTGTTATCTAAACCTATAAATGTGCAAGATGAGGGGGACTTTCCAGTGGTTCAATATGCTGATGATACCCTCATTTTCATAAACGCATCCTAGAGAGATTTTTTTTTTCCTTAAGGATCTTTTACACACTTTCACTCAAGACACTGGTTTGGAAATCCATTATCATAAGGCCAGTATTTACCCCTTGAATGTTCCTAAGGATAAATTAGAAAATTTGCTCTGTTGCTGGGATGTAAAGGTGGGCACCATGCCTTTTACTTACTTAGGTTTGCCAATGGGTATACTACAAACTAAGAGCGGTTGACATGGCACCAATGGTGGATAGAGTGTAAAGGAGATTAACTGCTAATGCTTCTTTAAAGCATCTGCATAAATTTTACACTGTGCAAGACTTTCCTTGGGTTAGACTTATATGGACTTCTTACAGCAGAACAAAAGTGCCTCACATGATCTTTAATAAAGGATCTTTTTGGTGGAGGGATATTATTCAATTGGTTAATATATACAGAGCTATCTCTAAATGCTCAATCCAGTCTGGTACTACAATATTGTTTTGGGATGATATCTGGAATGGGGAAGACAGAAAACTTAAGTTCTAAGCTCTCTTTTCCCAAACCACAGTGAGATGGGAATCTGTAAGAAATTTTTCTGGCTTCCATCTAGAAGATTGTTTCAATCTTCCTCTAGAAGCGCAGGCTTATGGGCAGTTCCTTCAGTTGCAATGAGTAGTTTATCTTTCAAAACTCAAAGAGGAGATTCTTGGTCTTTCATTTGGAATTCTCAAGTGTACTCTACTCAGAAGTTTTATCCATCTAACTTTTTGGGAATTTCGATTCCAAGGCTTTTCATTTGGATCTGTAAATCAAAGTGCATCAAAAAGAATAAGGTTTTCGTGTAGTTACTTCTGTGGGATAGACTCAACACTAGAGATGTGTTGGACAGGAGGCATTGTGCCCCTGAAGATGTTGTTTTGTGTTGTGGTGTTTGTGGAGGACCAAGAGAAACCTTGCTTCACTTATTCTTCATTTGTCCTTTCAGTAAGATGTGTTGGGAGCGTCTGGGAATCAGGTGGAATACTAATTTGAAAATTTGCCAAATGCAGGTTTTGGCTAAGGAGGAAAGGTTTCTTGGACTTTATATGTTTTGCTTGTTGGCGCATTTGGAAGCAGCGAAATAGCCATGTTTTTTAACAATGTTCAGCCAGATCTTAATAGGTGGTTTGTTGCTTTAAAAAATGAAATTCTTCTGCATGTTTGCAGAATAAAGGATTCTCTTAGCATTCTCATTCTTAGCTTTTTTTTTTGGTTTTTTTGTTCTGGGGCCTTTGTTTTATGTTCTCTGTACACGCGTTCTTTTATTTTAATATATAGCTACTGGGCAAAGCCCTGGTAATATTTTCCATAAAACTTTGTATGGTTGTCTAATTTTACCTTCGCTATTTTGTGACCACCATTCTTCGGCAATAAAACAGGGAAAACAATGCCTCGACCAACTAGGCATTTTGCAAGTATCATTCAAATAAAGAAGAAAATATAAGACTTAGCACAAACTTTTAGCCTCTTCCTGAAATACTAACCTATGCAGGTAATATCAGAAATCTGAACATTGGACATAAACATTCTGCTAGCACAAACTACTACTACGTACAGAAACTACAAAAGAACAAAGGTTACAGTCACCTACAGAAAACATAAACTAATCTATAATAAAATTACTACGCATATGAAATTCCACGGTAAATTCAATAACATTATGATGTAAGACATACAAAAATTTGGCTATGAATTCAATTTTGTCAGCTGCCAAATGTGTGAGCATCATGTAGAACATCGTATGGAAGGTGCAAAATTAAGGTCTCACTACCACACAAATACACAAAGAGGACGACACTATAGGTGACGGATGTACTAAAACTGGCATATATAAACCTTTCCCTGTCTCCAAGGGCTGAAACATTAAATAACCAACACATTTGAGCAATTATAAGTAACAGTTCTAGAGAAAAACCAGTACTGTATGTGCTGATTTTTTCTAAAAAAAGGAACCTTTAATTTATCATAGGTACCATTTCATTAAAAAAATCAACATCTATAATATATTATAGGTGATGGTTTTTTAATAAACCGACGCCCGTAAAACCGAGCCGAGCCGAACCGGTGGGTGGGAGGGAGATACTTTTTGCCGAACCCATGAGTACTTGTACTCGGCCTTATCCTCTCCTCTCTCTCTCTCTCTATCTCTGTCTCTTCCTTCCCTTCCCCACCCTCCCATTCTCCTCCACCAACACCCGCCGCCGATCACCACCGGGATCCACGAGGCGATCTGACGTGCATTGGATTGGGATCTCCTACATCCTTCCTTTCCCCTATCCTTCGAGCTGATCAAGCCGCCTTTTTTTTTTATTTCTGGAACCTCAAAGCTACCGGTTCCTAAACTGGCACCTTTGACTACCTCAAAGGTGCCCCCTGTTATGTTATGTGTCATTTGGGAAATTTAGCATCCATGGGGTTTTCCCAACCGGTACACATTGTTGTTTCTGTAGCAGTGTTTGAATTAATAAAACATATAAAAATGAGAAACTAAAAAACTTGTACGGATATGGAATATTTAATCAGCTGGCAATATATGAGTATAATAAAATTTCAAGCTCGGGAATTAAACTGAAATTTCTATACAAACAGGACTTCGAACGACCATATAAGTTCAATTAAGGTCTGAAATAATTAAACATGTGAAAAACATAAACTGAATTAGACATGGCACATTTGAAATGCATCATTACAATTTAGAAACAGGGACATGGTATTCAGAGCATCACTATACATTTCAAAAAGAGCAACCTTACAATCACCCTAATGAGCATCGTAATTCAAACTTGTGGCCTATTCGGTTAACAAATTATGAGCAGTCTCAGTTATTGTTTTTCATCCCAGCTAGTGTGTACTTTGGTCCTCTCTGCAACAAAAGGAAATCCATTGAATTGGTGCCTAAAAGGGATTTCTTAGCTTCACTGGTTGCTATACTTCCATACATACCTATAATGCAAAAAAAATAAAAATGAAAAATCCATCTCCCAAACTGAACTGAATTATATTAGACAAAGTAATCATACAAGTGTGGAAGCTTAACACCCAAACCTAAAATCTAGCAAACACTGCAATTCGTATTAAATTATAAAGATTTAAATTTCTGAGAGAACAATGCAACTTACCTATTTCACTTCCTGTGGGGCTTTTCTTTTAGCATAAGCTCTATACCTCCATGAAGATTTTATGGGGAGATAGTAATCAACTAATTGTCATCCCTTTATATAATTATGCTCGGGAAATCCTTAATGAATACCCCCCTGCCTCTGATGGTTAGTGAGATCTTGCATGAAGCTTGGAAGCTCCCTTAGATTGGGGCATTGCTCAATCAATAAATACCGAAGAGAACCCGAGGCAGAACAAAGAGTGTCAGGAAGACGCTCTAGCTTTGGAAGTCCAATGATCTGCAATGATCGAAGACTCCATAGCCCATCCATGGCCTCCTCTGGATGCATCAAATCCAGCTCCGGGCAATTGTCGATGAACAGCTCTCGCAGACTGGAGAGGTGTGTCATGCTGGCTGGGAGAGAAGGAAGCTTTGGGCAATCACTGATCCACAGCATCTGTAGGGCAGTCAACGAGCCAATCCCTTCTGACAGTGATGTTAGTTCACTACATGAGTGAAGCTGCAGGGATGTTAGTGAAGCCCAGCCACGAAGTCCTGCTTCTGGCAACTGCTTTTGCTTCGATGTCAAACTCAGGTACCTGAGGCTGATTAACTTGTTTACATCTCTCGGCAACTCGATTAGTTGGTCACTTCGATAAAGATCAAGTGTCTGAAGGTTTATGAGCTTGCATAGGGAATTGGGAAGGTATTTTATGGTTTTGTTCCAGGTGAGGTCAAGATACCTCAAGTGCTTCAAATTTCCAATTGAATCTGGGAGTTCGTCAATTCTAACTCCGGATATAATCAATACACGTAGAAGCAATAACTTGGACAGCAGCACTTCCAGAAATTTTTTGCTTAAAGAACCATGATTACACGAACTAATAAAAGTTCGAGCTTTTCTTGCTTTGATTAAATGCCTGGGAAATTCTTGCTCGTGTGTGAAATCCTTAAGGTCCCATACTAGATGCCTGACTGTTTCTGAGACTTGTTGCCCTTCACAGTTCACAACAGCTAGGTCTGTGTCCAAAACATATCTACCAAGATCATGTACAATGTCATGTAACTTGCAATGTGGCATGCTTCCATCAAAAGTAATTAGAGAGTCTTGAAAAAGGGAACTTCCTATCAATTCAATAATGTACTGATTACCAACATCTATTTCTTCACTCAATTTGTTCGAGTTCAGTAGCCCATGTGCCATCCAAAACATGATTATGCATCTTCTGTAATATTCGAAGTCCTTAGGAAATATGGATAAATAGGAAAGACATGGTTTAAGGGCAGCTGGAAGAGCATTGTAACTTAACTTTAGCACTGGCATTATATCTCTGTCACCTTGTACAATTTTGCACAAGTGGTCTTCTTTAACACGTAGCCATTGAGTTTCATCACGCATGGTAAATAGTAGAGAACCCAATGATTTTATTGCCAGTGGTACTCCAGCACACTTCTTCACAATGGACTCTCCAATTTTCAACAACCACGGATATTTATTTTCCTCACCTTGTCTGAATGCAACTCTGGTAAAAATTTGCATGCACTCATGAAAAGGGAGTGCACCCACCTTGTACGGGTCTGAGGTACCAACCATAGATGCAACAACATTTTCGCGTGTAGTAACAATTATCACACTACCCCTTGCACCACTTGACAACAAATTCCTCAGCTCTCTCCATTCATTTACATCACGAGTCCACAGATCATCCAATACCAGGAAATAATTTCCATTCTGCAGAATTCCCCTGAGCTTATTTTGTAAATGTTCCAAGTTTAGATGCTTGCAACTCTCACCACTGGCAGACTCGATTATATCTTGTAGTATATTTTTCAGATTAAATTTATTAGAGACACAGGCCCACATCATCTTGCTGAACCTCTCCCTGATTTGTTGATCATGATACACCATATTTGCTAGTTCAGTTTTCCCAATGCCTCCAAGCCCAAGCAGAGGAAGCACAAAAATATCATGATGTTCTGCTGCTCTTAGTATCTTACTAACAATCTCATCTCTAGCATCATCCCTTCCAATTATATCAGGTTGATACACAAAAGAATATGATTCTCTTTCTGGTTCTTCAGAACACTGACCACCCACTGTCCAATCGGTCAGTCCAAAGTCCTTTTTACTAGCGGCTATTTCGTTAAGCTTTTCATGAACTTCTCTTATTCTGCTGCTCCATTTCTTCTTCCTTTTGAGCAATTTTCTTCTCAATTTCAATCGAGAAATATGTACACAATTGGTTTGAGTAACCACATCTTTGCTAACTCTGCGCTTCAAAGTTTCAGTTGACGCATCGTCCAAAATGTCATCTATGTCATACATGACATCTTTCAGTTTTCGCAGCCATTCCTTGAGTGCACTAGAAGTACTCTGCTTCCTCTCTGCGTCTAGAAGAACTCCACTAATAGCTTGCAACGAATTCTGTAGCTTCCCCAGTTCTTGATGCACACTCCTGTCTGATTTAATCCCCATCAAACCGTGTTCACTAACAAACAAAATTATTTTTCCAATAATTGACACGGCAAAACTTGACAGAAGTACTTCGGCCATAGTTGTAAGAACTGAGCCTTCTGAAAAAAAGTAAAATATGTGACAGACCTGTGGATGCCATACAATATAGGCCACTCGATAAGGAAGGAAAATGAATCAGCACATGACTTTTAAGGCTAAATAGTGAACTTTTGTTAGAAATGGGTGATTTCATAGAAAAAGATATTATATAAGATTCAAGAACACTTGCGTTATATTTGTGAAGATTAATTGATTGACACAAAAACAAATACTAAAAAGGAACTTGGTATCAAATTAATAGAGAAGAAATAGAGACCCAAGTTGAGTCCAAGAGGTTTCTGAACTTTGGTGATGGTGGTGTACATCCACACCTCTCACCAATTGATCTGGGCTTAGTCCCTATCTGCATGCCTTATGGCAAATATATACTATGAACTAAATTACCTGTTACCTGTGCCATGTAGCTGCTAGTGGTCAAAATTTGTTAGGGGATGATGACTGTTATATTATGATCCGAATTAGACTGGTAATTCCACTTCCAAATATGAAGTTCTACTTCTAGTCCAATTCTGGATGATGTAACTCGTATAATATAACCCTTAAGAGACATAGTGCAAGACAATGCTAAATATAAAGAGCAAACAAGTTCCATTTAACATCCTCAACATAGTGATTATTATTTTGTAAACATCAGCCCCCAAACGCACACAAGGGCACGAATTTCCTTATTGCATAGTCACCTAAAATCCTGTATCACTAAACCAGAAATTGCAATTCAATAAAGCAGAATCTGATTACAGTAGAGCTTTACTGAAACTTCTGTTATATATGTATGAAAATCATGCTCTAATAGTATACCTTTTGGTGTTTGCAGGTGCTCATAGTGCAGTTAGCCAAAAGAAATATGATTTAGAAAATGAATGCCTCAATTACAAGAGAATTAGGTGGTAAATAATCTAAATTCTCCAATTACAAATACAAAAAAAGAAATACTCTAAAAAAACTCAGATTCATCCTCCTCCCTCTTCCATGTTGCTTTTCACCTGGGAACCTAGAATCCTGCCCCTGTGAGCTGTGATATCTTTTTGAGGCATTTCCACAAACAGGTCACAGGCAATAGAAAAATCCTAAATGGCTTTAACAGCAAAGGTAACAAGAAAAGCCTACCAGCAATACAATTTACAGGAATGATCGACTTAGAGATAGGGAGAAAGATAGCAAGACGGAGAGATGAGAGATCGATCTCACCAGTCACCAGCCCTGAACCCCTCGCCTGCTTCCGCAGCCTCGCTGTCAGCAATCTCCAGAGAGAAACGGAAGAAGATTTTCAGGGATCGAGCGGGCAGGTGATGCAGATTGGCCTCGCCGTGGAAGCCTGATGCCAAATTGCTCCATCCTCTGATGTCAAATCGCGTAAAAATTATATATAAGGAAGAGAATTGGCCTACGGTAAGATGAGAAAAGCCGAGAGCGGACAGCGGTGGGTTTAGCACAATTCTATGTGCGCATGCCCTTGGTAAGTTGGTATGTCGTAATTGGAATTTGACAACGGACAATTCATGGAATACCTGTTGACATCACAATTTTTGTCACTGGGAATTAATACTCTGGTTGGTTAGATTATTTTAGTTAGTAGCGTGATCCCACGAAAGTGAATATATCTTTACTTTCTAACTAGCATGGTGGCCCGCGCAGATTGCGCGGCTAGTATCATTATATTTTCTCTCATATAATAGCATATATGATTTTTATTATATTATTCAAATATATTAAAATGACAACATAATTTTAAATTTTGCAATAACTTTACAAAACTACTAATGTGTAATATTCATATTGTATTTTATATACGTGTTAGTTATTAATTATTTTTAATATCAAATTTTAGTTATTTGTAAATTATATATATTCCTATATGGACTCTAGACTCGTCTTTCAATATTTCTTTTTTTTAATTTCGAATTTTCTGTAAATTGTATTTCTATATAGACTCTATACTCTTCTTCCAACATTATTTATTTTTATTTCTGAATTTTTATTATTTCTAATTGTATTTCTACGTGGACTCTAAACTCATATTTCAATATTCTTTAATTTTTAATTTCGAATTTCAGTTACTTCTAAATTGCATTCTTATATTGACTTTAAATTCTTCTTCCCATGTTTTTCTTAATTTCGAATTTTAGTTATTTATAAATATATTGTATTTTTATACGGGCTCTAAACTCTACTTTTAATTTCATTATATTTTTTCAAATTTTAGTTAGTTTTAAATTCCTATATGGACTCTATACTCTACTTCTAATAATCCTTTTTTTAATTCTGAATTTCAGTTATTTCCTAATTGTATTTCTATATGGACTCCATACTCTACTTCTAATATTCCTTGTTTTTAATTCCGAATTTCAGTTATTTCCTAACTGTATTTCTATATGGACCCTATCCTCTACTTCTAATATTCCTTATTTTTAATTCCGAATTTCAGCTATTTCCTAATTGTATTTCTATATAGACTCTAGTCTCCTCTTCTAATATTCCTTATTTTTTAATTCCGAATTTCAGTTATTTCTAAATTGTATTTCTATATGGACTCTGTCTTTTCTTTTTCTCCGATTAATGTGAGAATTTCTAGGCCATGAGAGCGAACGTGAATGCTCCTTTTTCTACTAATTTTATTTCTATATGGACTCTATACTCTACTTCTAATAATCCTTATTTTTAATTCCAAATTTAAGCTATTTCCTAATTGTATTTCTATATGGACTCTATACTCTACTTCTAATATTCCTTATTTTTAATTCCGAATTTCAGCTATTTCCTAATTGTATTTCTATATGGACTCTATCCTCTACTTATAATATTCCTTATTTTTAATTCCGAATTTCAGCTATTTCCTAATTGTATTTCTATATGGACTCTAGTCTCCTCATCTAATATTCCTTATTTTTTAATTCCGAATTTCAGTTATTTGTAAATTGTATTTCTATATGGACTCTAGTCTCCTCTTCTAATATTCCTTTTTTTTTAATTCCGAATTTCAGCTATTTCTAAATTGTATTTCTATATGGACTCTGTCTTTTTTTTTCTCCGATTAATGTGAGAATTTCTAGGCCATGAGAGCGAACGTGAGGGCTCCTTTTTCTATTCCTTTAATAATATAATAGATAGATTTACTTTTGAGTTAATTGGATCCATATGCCATTGCAACTCTACCAACTCTAATTTACTTTTGAGTTAATTGGATCCATATGCCATTGCTGCCAAAGTGCCACTCCCTCGCCCAGGCTACCGCCGCCGTGTGAGGGTAGGGGCAAAATCGTACTCTCACCAGTGTTTCTCTCTCTCCAAATTAACAAGAAATAATAAAATAAGGCCCTGAGTGTCCAGGAGCTAATTACACGACTTTTGTGATGCCCGACGGCAAATTCTCGTTTTTGTGGTGTCCACGAGCTAATTACACGTTTTTTCAATGTCCTGTAGCAAATTTTGCCATTAAACAAATATCACTACTATTCGTAATATTGGTTCAATGTCATTAGTATTTTGTAAAATTTAAACAATGCGACTGTATACATCTCGGATGCGGATAGACTAGATATTTTCATGCCTTACAGCCTCATCTTCTGGCCTTATGGTTATAAGTCAAAATTTGAATTTTCAATCTTAAATTTCGAGTTGATTTTGAGGTATTTTTTCGTTGTAGTTTATTTTCCAGTCTTTTCGTTTCTTTTCGATTGCTAAGAACACGTATATAAAAGTTTAATTTACAAATTATTTTCTTTTTGCAAATATGTCGTTTCGCTTATTCCGCCAATAAGCGAAAGGATGGAGTCTTTATTGTCGTACAAACCAAAATGCACACAACCCACCTCCTCGTGTTCTACGTGCATGCTTTTCAAAATGCTAGACGGTACGTTTTTTGCAGAAAGTTTTTATATGAAAGTTGCTTAAAAAAATCATAATAACCTTGCACGCTAATGGACCTCTATGTTTTCCGTGAATGGGAAATGAGTTCCCAGCACACAGAAACAAACACAGCCTTAGAGGTTAACAAGTGGGACCCGTATGTTACACTTATATTCTTCCTCGACTCTTCTTGCTCGGTGATTCTAGCCGTGGTAGGGCAGCAGTGGTGGAGCGGTCGGCAATGGGGCTCGCCGACGACGATGCCCCCGTGGCTGGCTTCCTGACAGCGTGGTGGCGAAATCGAGGGGGGGCCAGGCGAGTGTAGGATCACACAAGACCAAACAAACCTAACAAACCTACCAGAGGAGGGTGAATGGTAGGGAAAACCGAAAACCCAAAAATCTTTTTCGGAATTAAAGATTACCCTCAAAACGAATTAGACGTCGAAGCCCTATCACCGCTGGTCGAACCGCCCTCCTACCGCCGGTCAAACCACCGAAGCCTCGCCGGTCAGACCGCCCGTAGACCTGCGGTCAGACCGCCGCTATCCCACCGGTCAGACCGCACGCACACCTGCGGTTAGACCGTCGGGACCCATAAACACCGGTAGATGACAAACTCGAAGATGTAGATTGAAACTTTTTGACATTATTGCATCAACTAGTGTTTACAAAGTGCACCAACAACACTCCTCACCAAAATCTCGAACTAAACTCGAAACCCTAACTTTCTCTCAACTCTAGTATCTCTAAAATCGATACCGGGAGGCCTCATCTTCCCTCTCTATTTATACATGAGGTAGGCTGTGCATAGCCCACGAATCTAACACAACTTAGAACTCCTAACCCACATAGGAAACCCTCTCTTGCAAGTATCCAACTTATCTCTTTCCTTATCTTAATCAATCTTCCTGAATTCGGACTCCCTTCCAAATTTGACTCCTCTTACCATATGTACACAATCCCTCTTGTATACCATATGAATTTCTTCATCACCATATGCATTGTCCTCTAGCCTTTAATATCCCTCATGATCTCTTGATCTCTGGACATCAACTTGTCCCAAGTTGACTCCAATCTATCACCGGCAACACTCTCCCGAGGCCTCAAGCAACACCTGCACATGCAACAACCAAGAAACCATATTCCGAGCCCAAGTTCGTCCCAACTTGACTCACATTAGTATAACAATAGTATCCATACGCATAGAAACCATCTAGAAGCCAAATCCCCGAAGGAAACATCCAAATCCAACAAGACAACCCGAAACCGACATCGAACATGATCCTGCCGGTTAGACCGTCGAGCCGGCTGGTCTGACCGCCGCAACATCTGTGGTCTGACTGGCGGCACGCGACCAGTCAGACCGCTAGGGTCAACCGAAACTGCACACTTCACAAAATCAACCGTCTTATAAAATCTCCAAAATAACATTAGCAAACCACCAATATTTTCATCACAAAATCTAAATCAACTCCTTGATTTTACAGCGAGTTCAGGGCGCCGAGGAACAACAGAAGCAGCGGTGCACTCCTGCTCGAACTTTGAGCAGCATGCAGTAGCAGCAACAACAGCAACAGCCTAGGGTCGCTCCTTGTCTCGTCGTTGCACCTAGAAGTGGCACGCGGTCAAGGAGTACCTACATGCCATGAGGTAGAAAAATGGCATGTCATTGTAAGACTTTATAGGATTTTCAATGAATGTCATAACAAAATCCTTGAGATCACTGATGCATCTGTCATACGAGCCTTCAAGGTAGGCGTCCGAGTTCAGTACACCATCCAAGAGTTGGCGACACAAAACACACCCTTAGCAATGAGGCTTTTCCAGATTGCCGACATATGTGTCCATGTTGAGAAAGCTATTCGACACAATGATGGTAAGATAAAAGCAGGGGAGGACAATGCGCCGAGCACAAAAATAGAAGCAAGCTACTCAATGAAGCTGAAGCAGCTAGCCCATGAATAATAATAGGAAGCGCATGATAGATAGAGTGGTATTGCAGTGGATACAAAACTACCTCAACCTAGGCACTTCGAATCTCAATAAAGATAGGCTCCCAGCAAAAAGATGTGCCCAACTCACATGACAAGCTCACACTCTCTGCTGGAAGTCATATCTTTCACAAAGACATTGTATAATATACACATCAATGATTTACAAATATTATTAAATTTTCATATTTTTCAACGTGGATTTGTTCTTTAGCACAATGTAGGGTAAAACTGCAATTTTCTCATGGTATTCTTCCACTCTTCCATCTCCTTGTTATCTCATTCTTCTTTATTATTGATGATGATACTGATAGCTTTAGCCACTAAAAACTCCCGGTTGGTTTGTGTGCCCATGGTTTGTATTATATTATTTGTAATTTTTACATGAGTTAGTAGTAATTATGTATGCTTCCAAGTTGATTAATTAGTTTTTAGAATTTGAGAGATATTTTTTCCTAAATATAATCTAGAATGTTCTTAACTAATAACATATATAGGTGAGTAACATTTGTTGTAAATCTAATGATCATAGTGCGCTATAAATATTGTTCAACTGAGTTGTGTCTTTCACTATGTATAAGTATATCATATGTTATATTATATAGCGTAAAATTAGTGATCATGGTGTAACATATATACTACCTCC